GGCAGTTGGTGATGTTGGTGATGTTGGTGGCAGTTGGTGATGTTGGTTGCAGTTGGTGATGTTGGTGGCAGTTGGTGATGTTGGTGGCAGTTGGTGATGTTGCTGGCAGTTGGTCATGTTGCTGGCAGTTGGTGATGTTGGTGGCAGTTGGTGATGTTGGTGGCAGTTGGTGATGTTGGTGGCAGTTGGTGATGTTGGTGGCAGTTGGTGATGTTGGTGGCAGTTGGTGATGTTGGTTGCAGTTGGTGATGTTGGTGGCAGTTGGTGATGTTGCTGGCAGTTATTAATGTTGCTTGCAGTTGGTAATGTTGATGGCAGTTGGTGATGTTGGTGGCAGTTGGTGATGTTGGTGGCAGTTGGTGATGTTGGTTGCAGTTGGTGATGTTGGTGGCAGTTGGTGATGTTGGTGGCAGTTGGTGATGTTGGTGGCAGTTGGTGATGTTGGTTGCAGTTGGTGATGTTGGTGGCAGTTGGTGATGTTGCTGGCAGTTATTAATGTTGCTTGCAGTTGGTAATGTTGATGGCAGTTGGTGATGTTGGTGGCAGTTGGTGATGTTGGTGGCAGTTGGTGATGTTGGTTGCAGTTGGTGATGTTGGTGGCAGTTGGTGATGTTGCTGGCAGTTATTAATGTTGCTTGCAGTTGGTAATGTTGATGGCAGTTGGTGATGTTGGTGGCAGTTGGTGATGTTGGTGGCAGTTGGTGATGTTGGTGGCAGTTGGTGATGTTGGTTGCAGTTGGTGATGTTGGTGGCAGTTGGTGATGTTGCTGGCAGTTATTAATGTTGCTTGCAGTTGGTAATGTTGATGGCAGTTGGTGATGTTGGTGGCAGTTGGTGATGTTGGTGGCAGTTGGTGATGTTGGTTGCAGTTGGTGATGTTGGTGGCAGTTGGTGATGTTGCTGGCAGTTGGTAATGTTGCTTGCAGTTGGTAATGTTGATGGCAGTTGGTGATGTTGGTGGCAGTTGGTGATGTTGTTGGCAGTTGGTGATGTTGGTTGCTGTTGGTGATGTTGGTGGCAGTTGGTGATGTTGCTGGCAGTTGTTAATGTTGCTTGCAGTTGGTAATGTTGATGGCAGTTGGTGATGTTGGTGGCAGTTGGTGATGTTGGTGGCAGTTGGTGATGTTGGTGGCAGTTGGTGATGCTGCTGGCAGTTGGTGATGTTGGTGGCAGTTGGTGATGTTGGTGGCAGTTGGTGATGTTGGTCGCAGTTGGTGATGTTGCTGGCAGTTGGTGATGTTGGTGGCAGTTGGTGATGTTGGTGGCAGTTGGTGATGTTGGTGGCAGTTGGTGATGTTGGTGGCAGTTGGTGATGTTGGTGGCAGTTGGTGATGTTTGTTGCAAATGGTGATGTTGGTGGCAGTTGGTGATGTTGGTGGCAGTTGGCAATGTTGATGGCAGTTGGTGATGTTGGTGGCAGTTGGTGATGTTGCTGGCAGTTGATAATGTTGCTTGCAGTTGGTAATGTTGATGGCAGTTGGTGATGTTGGTGGCAGTTGGTGATGTTGGTCGCAGTTGGTGATGTTGCTGGCAGTTGGTGATGTTGGTGGCAGTTGGTGATGTTGGTGGCAGTTGGTGATGTTGGTGGCAGTTGGTGATGTTGGTGGCAGTTGGTGATGTTGGTCGCAGTTGGTGATGTTGCTGGCAGTTGGTGATGTTGGTGGCAGTTGGTGATGTTGGTGGCAGTTGGTGATGTTGGTGGCAGTTGGTGATGTTGATGGCAGTTGGTGATGTTGGTGGCAGTTGTTGATGTTGGTGGCAGTTGGTAATGTTGGTAATGTTGGTGGCAGTTGGTGATGTTGCTGGCAGTTGGTAATGTTGCTTGCAGTTGGTAATGTTGATGGCAGTTGGTGATGTTGGTGGCAGTTGGTGATGTTGTTGGCAGTTAGTGGCAGTTGGCAATGTTGGTGGCAGTTGGTGATGTTGCTTGCAGTTGGTGATGTTGGTGGCAGTTGATGATGTTGCTTGCAGTTGGTGATGTTGGTGGCAGTTGGTGATGTTGGTGGCAGTTGGTGATGTTGGTGGCAGTTGGTGATGTTGGTGGCAGTTGGTGATGTTGGTGGCAGTTGGTGGCAGTTGGTGATGTTGCTTGCAGTTGGTGATGTTGGTGGCAGTTGGTAATGTTGCTTGCAGTTGGTGGCAGTTGGTGATGTTGGTGATGTTGGTGGCAGTTGGTGATGTTGGTGGGCAGTTGGTGATGTTGGTGGCAGTTGGTGATGTTGCTGGCAGTTGGTGATGTTGGTGGGCAGTTGGTGATGTTGGTGGCAGTTGGTGATGTTGGTGGCAGTTGGTGATGTTTGTTGCAAATGGTGATGTTGGTGGCAGTTGGTGATGTTGGTGGCAGTTGGCAATGTTGATGGCAGTTGGTGATGTTGGTGGCAGTTGATAATGTTGCTTGCAGTTGGTAATGTTGATGGCAGTTGGTGATGTTGTGGCAGTTGGTGATGTTGGTGGCAGTTGGTGATGTTGGTTGCAGTTGGTGATGTTGGTGGCAGTTGGTGATGTTGCTGGCAGTTGTTAATGTTGCTTGCAGTTGGTAATTTTGATGGCAGTTGGTGATGTTGGTGGCAGTTGGTGATGTTGGTGGCAGTTGGTTGCAGTTGGTAATGTTGGTGGCAGTTGGTGATGTTGCTGGCAGTTGGTAATGTTGCTTGCAGTTGGTAATGTTGATGGCAGTTGGTGATGTTGGTGGCAGTTGGTGATGTTGTTGGCAGTTGGTGGCAGTTGGTAATGTTGGTGGCAGTTGGTGATGTTGCTTGCAGTTGGTGATGTTGGTGGCAGTTGATGATGTTGCTTGCAGTTGGTGATGTTGGTGGCAGTTGGTGATGTTGGTGGCAGTTGGTGATGTTGGTGGCAGTTGGTGATGTTGGTGGCAGTTGGTGATGTTGGTGGCAGTTGGTGATGTTGGTGGCAGTTGGTGGCAGTTGGTGATGTTGCTTGCAGTTGGTGATGTTGGTGGCAGTTGGTAATGTTGCTTGCAGTTGGTGGCAGTTGGTGATGTTGGTGATGTTGGTGGCAGTTGGTGATGTTGGTGGGCAGTTGGTGATGTTGGTGGCAGTTGGTGATGTTGCTGACAGTTGGTGATGTTGGTGGGCAGTTGGTGATGTTGGTGGCAGTTGGTGATGTTGGTGGCAGTTGGTAATGTTGCTTGCAGTTGGTGGCAGTTGGTAATGTTGGTGGCAATAGGTGATGTTGCTGGCAGTTGGTAATGTTGCTTGCAGTTGGTAATGTTGATGGCAGTTGGTGATGTTGGTGGCAGTTGGTGATGTTGGTGGCAGTTGGTAATGTTGGTGGCAGTTGGTGATGTTGCTTGCAGTTGGTAATGTTGCTTGCAGTTGGTGGCAGTTGGTAATGTTGGTGGCAATAGGTGATGTTGGTGGCAGTTGGTAATTTTGCTTGCAGTTGGTGGCAGTTGGTAATGTTGGTGGCAATAGGTGATGTTGCTGGCAGTTGGCGATGTTGGTGGGCAGTTGGTGATGTTGGTGGCAGTTGGTGATGTTGGTGGCAGTTGGTGATGTTGGTGGCAGTTGGTGGCAGTTGGTGATGTTGCTGGCAGTTGGTGATGTTGGTGGGCAGTTGGTGATGTTGGTGGCAGTTGGTGATGTTGCTGGCAGTTGGTGATGTTGGTGGGCAGTTGGTGATGTTGGTGGCAGTTGGTGATGTTGGTGGCAGTTGGTGATGTTGGTGGCAGTTGGTGATGTTGCTGGCAGTTGGTGATGTTGTATTAACTGTCAGTGTCACGTTGATGATTGTATATAAGTTGTCACATTGGTGATGTTATACAAGCAACCTGTTGTGTACAGCAGGAAGTTGTAGAAACATTTTCTGCCAAAGTTCATGTCAGTGTCAAGCATCACGTGAGTCTATTTATAACTGTGGGTGTGGTCTAGTCTTGTGTGCAGCCTGCTGGAGCCAGTTTGATGTTTGCACACTCCACTCTATTCCTCACTCTACACGCCGCTCAAAGCGCCAAAGTTTGATGCCAACACACGCCAGGGTACAAGCCATGTTGTCAAGTCGACCAGGTGTGTCTGGCATAACCCTGCTGGTGGTAGGTACCTGCTTGCAGGTGATGTATTTAGCGTGGTGGGTGATGGGGTGGGTGTTGGGGTGGGTGTGGGGGTGGGTGTTGGGGTGGGTGTGGGGGTGGTCGTTGGTGTGGTCGTTGGTGTGGTCGTTGGGGTGGGTGATGGGGTGGGTGATGGGGTGGGTGATGGGGTGGGTGTGGGGTGGGTGTTGGGGGTGGTCGTTGGGGTGGGTGTTGGAGTGGGTGATGGGGTGGGTGATGGGGTTGGTGTTGGGGTGGGGGTGGGTGTTGGGGTGGGGGTGGGTGTGGGTCTGGGTGTGGTTGTTGGGATTGGTGTGGGGTCGGTGTTCATGTCTTTTTTGATTACACATTGGGTTTTTTCTAAATTACAATGAAAACTACACAAAAACATGCACTGTATGTTTATTTGAAGTTGTCAAATTTTAAAATAATTCAAGGCATAAATAAACTTGTTTCAGACATCATATCTTTCATTAACAGCGTGCTACCCGCACACTAACAGCGTGCTACCCACACACTAACAGCGTGCTGCCCACACACTAACAGCGTGCTACCCACACACTAACAGCGTGCTACCCACACACTAACAGCGTGCTACCCACACACTAACAGCGTGCTACCCACACACTAACAGCGTGCTACCCACACACTAACAGCACATACAGATTCGCAGTTTGGCGCTCATACAAATACAAATAAAAATCGCCACCCACACACACAAACACACACACACACACACACACACACATAGCAAATGCTACCCACAAATATATTGCATTGAAGAAAAGACGAGTTATAAACAGATGAACAAGTTAAAATAAATAAATATCAACAAAAGCGTCATCATAACAGGACGAGCAGTACAGAAAGTCACGTGCGTGCTATAATTAGCCTGACCCCATTCTGTATGTACATCAAGATACTAATTGTATCAGACTCATGTACACAAAAGTTACTTATCATATCAGACTATCGTGTACACAAATGTTGTCCCAATAGTTGCCATGTTCCCAGCTATCAGCACGAATGTTGTCCCCACCACCAGCTCCCACAGGGTCCTGACATGACGGCCACAGGCGGACGTCCGGGAAGACACGGCCCCTACCTGGAGCACCGACAGCCGGACGTGGACGTGTTGTCGCCCGTGGACAGCCGGATGCCTTTGTCAGTGCCGGCTGCCGGCTGTTTAGGGCTGGCGTCTCTGGCAACCACTTTGTCGGCTGGAATATAAAGGGCGAGAAATGTCATGTAATCCAGGAATATAAACTTCATATAAAGGAAACGTTTTGTGAAAGATATTCAAGACTGCATGTATACAGTTATGATAAACAATGGCATTGGGATAGCAGGTGATAAGTCTCTAGTTACGTGAACGCAATCTTACGACACCGGTGTATCTCAAGATCCGACTTAAATCAGTAATTATATCATTAATTAAATCAGTAATTAAATTAGTAGTTAAATCAGTAATTAAATCATTAATTAAATCAGTAGTTAAATCATTAATTAAATCATTAATTAAATCAGTTATTTAATTAGTAATTAAATCTAATAAAATCAGTAATTAAATCTAATTAAATCAGTAATTAAAGCAGTAATTAAATTAGTAATTAAATCAGCAATTAAATTAGTAATTAAATCTATTCAAATCAGTAATTAAATCTAATTAGATCAGAAATTAAATCGGTAATTACATCAGTAATTAAATCAGTAATTAAATTAGTAATTGTTTCTCGCTACCTATTTATGTTTCAGATAATGACAAACAACAACACAATCAATGACCAGTAATTAGAGTGTTTGGAGCAAAGGCTGAGTAATGTGTCGATCAAAGGGAGGGAAGTGTGTTAATGATGATAAGGGGAGTAGCCCAGTTTATCATATATATGTCGGGTAGAGCCGGGTTAGTTGTCTTTTCGGTGAAGTTAAAATCGTTGAATTAACATTTACAATTTACACGCAAAGAAACTGTAATATTACACTCAGAACGTTTTCCTTTGACAATCAGAAAGTGAAGATGTTATGTCCACACTGAAACCAGGTAAAGCAGAGTTTACAAGGTAGAAAGGAATAGGGGGAACATGTACTCTCAGCATACCACACACAAAAACAATTACAACACAACCACCAACGAGCACACCAAACAGCCACAACCACACATCTACCACACCATGACCTACCGACGGTCTGGAAAAGACTTTTGATGCCCTGACCTGTCTTGGCCGAGACCTCTGTGAAGATGAGACCTTTGTCTCGCGCCATCTGTACAGCATCCTGTCAGGGTTAGTGGGTCAGTGGGTTAGTGGGTCAGTTGGTGTTGTTAGGGTTATTGGTTTAGTTAAGGTTAACAAACATCAATTCAGTGTTACAGCTTTGTATTGTTGTGTGAAATTAAAATAACACATTTGATGCATGTAAACCTGAGGTGGTGTCAGGGGCGGATTAAGCTTGGGCGGGGCCCCGGGCTGAAACTTTTTGGGGGCCCCTGATTATAAATAAATAAATAAATAAATAAATAAATAAATAAATAAATAAATAAATAAATAAATAAATAAATAAATAAATAAATAAATAAATAAATAAATAAATAAATAAATAAATAAATAAATAAATAAATAAATAAATAAATAAATAAATAAATAAATAAATAAATAAATAAATAAATAAATAAATAAATAAATAAATAAATAAATAAATAAATAAATAAATAAATAAATAAATAAATAAATAAATAAATAAATAAATAAATAAATAAATAAATAAATAAATAAATAAATAAATAAATAAATAAATAAATAAATAAATAAATAAATAAATAAATAAATAAATAAATAAATAAATAAATAAATAAATAAATAAATAAATAAATAAATAAATAAATAAATAAATAAATAAATAAATAAATAAATAAATAAATAAATAAATAAATAAATAAATAAATAAATAAATAAATAAATAAATAAATAAATAAATAAATAAATAAATAAATAAATAAATAAATAAATAAATAAATAAATAAATAAATAAATAAATAAATAAATAAATAAATAAATAAATAAATAAATAAATAAATAAATAAATAAATAAATAAATAAATAAATAAATAAATAAATAAATAAATAAATAAATAAATAAATAAATAAATAAATAAATAAATAAATAAATAAATAAATAAATAAATAAATAAATAAATAAATAAATAAATAAATAAATAAATAAATAAATAAATAAATAAATAAATAAATAAATAAATAAATAAATAAATAAATAAATAAATAAATAAATAAATAAATAAATAAATAAATAAATAAATAAATAAATAAATAAATAAATAAATAAATAAATAAATAAATAAATAAATAAATAAATAAATAAATAAATAAATAAATAAATAAATAAATAAATAAATAAATAAATAAATAAATAAATAAATAAATAAATAAATAAATAAATAAATAAATAAATAAATAAATAAATAAATAAATAAATAAATAAATAAATAAATAAATAAATAAATAAATAAATAAATAAATAAATAAATAAATAAATAAATAAATAAATAAATAAATAAATAAATAAATAAATAAATAAATAAATAAATAAATAAATAAATAAATAAATAAATAAATAAATAAATAAATAAATAAATAAATAAATAAATAAATAAATAAATAAATAAATAAATAAATAAATAAATAAATAAATAAATAAATAAATAAATAAATAAATAAATAAATAAATAAATAAATAAATAAATAAATAAATAAATAAATAAATAAATAAATAAATAAATAAATAAATAAATAAATAAATAAATAAATAAATAAATAAATAAATAAATAAATAAATAAATAAATAAATAAATAAATAAATAAATAAATAAATAAATAAATAAATAAATAAATAAATAAATAAATAAATAAATAAATAAATAAATAAATAAATAAATAAATAAATAAATAAATAAATAAATAAATAAATAAATAAATAAATAAATAAATAAATAAATAAATAAATAAATAAATAAATAAATAAATAAATAAATAAATAAATAAATAAATAAATAAATAAATAAATAAATAAATAAATAAATAAATAAATAAATAAATAAATAAATAAATAAATAAATAAATAAATAAATAAATAAATAAATAAATAAATAAATAAATAAATAAATAAATAAATAAATAAATAAATAAATAAATAAATAAATAAATAAATAAATAAATAAATAAATAAATAAATAAATAAATAAATAAATAAAGAAAGAAAGAAAGAAATAAAGAAATAAAGAAATAAATAAAGAAATAAATAAATAAATAAATAAATAAATAAATAAATAAATAAATAAATATATATATATATATATATATATATATATATATATATATATATATATATATATATATATATATATATATATATCCTAATCAGCATACCATTCAAGATATTAATGGATTATTTATAACTTATAGGAACATTCGACACCGATATTTACAAAACTGCTAATTTAAAAAGCTGTCAATTGTGTTCAATGAGCGGTAAATTGGATACAAACATCTAACCTTCTTCTTCTTCTCTTCTTCTTCGTTCTTAATTTTAGTGTTGGAAGGGATCCCCCTCAATACAATTAAGTACACGTGTCAAATGGTTAGGCGCCATTGAGACCATTGACTCTGATTTCAGCTTGCTTTTCTTTTTACTTTCTCGTATATACGAAGTATAGAGAAAGTCTTGTAATCATGCAAAATAATCGAGATTTTTGCAAATCTCGACGTTTTACACTTCACTGATACGGAAAAACATAATTTTGTGTCTGTGTGTGTAAACACGATAACTTGAGTACCGTTCCAGCTAGGTTGATGAAATTTTACATATAAGTATTGTATCAAAATCGTAGATCCCTAACAACTGTTGAGCGATTTCTGACAACCGGAAGTGGTACTTTTTCTACTTTGAATTTTTCAAAAGCCTATAACTTGAGTACTATTTCAGATAGATAAATGGAATTTCACATGTAAGTAAAAGTTCTAATTCTCTACCTTCTGCCAAATTTTGAGTCATTTCCGTTGACCGGAAGTACTAATTTACGCTATTTCCGATTTCTCAAAAAACGCATGTAAATGTATAAAGTACTAATAATATTGCGCACTATTATGCACATTTCATTTGGCGTTCACTTGGTGTGCAATCCTTTTTTCCTACGAGATTTTATTCTATTTAAAAAACTTTAAGTATTTAAAATGGAGTTCCCATCCCCTGTTGTTTTATATAAGAATATTCGAGAAAGTTTAGGGGAGATCACTCCCGGTTTATTTTAATTTGTTTCCATAGCCTTTGCCCAACCAAGAACAAACTACAGCAGATGTTTGATTTTGGAGTTGTCTCTCCTAGAAGAGTGGCTATCCCCAGCTAACGAGCCTCATCTGCCCGAGGATTTAAACTCGAGACATTTCGGTTAAGCATCCACGAGCTTTACCGACTCGACCACGCCGATCCCCTAACATCTAACCAATATGTACTCATTTTTATCATGATTATATGTTGTCCCCACCCTCTACCACGACACACACACACTAACAAAACACAGGCGAGATCCATCCGCTATATCAGTAGCACTAAATATATGACTGTTTAGTTTAGGCCTGTAGAAGTTTCCGACCTCTGTCCCGCGATCTAGCCGGGTACCAGACGGTAAGACGATGTCCTGTGTCTGGTGGTGGGGGAAGTAAAGCCTGGATAGAGCCTACGGATGAATAAGCGACCATCATGTAGTGTTTCAAACCAACATCTCAGTGAGACTGATTCAGTCCACAATTGGCCATTTAGTTGGAGTTCACTACGCCGAGACCTCCCTGGCTAATGGGAGTCAAACTCCTGAGCCTGTATATCCGTGTCACGATAGTTATTGAACTGTAATTCAAGTTTTTATATTGGGCATGAGAAAGCTGGAAATGCAGACTAACAATGAACACATGAGAATATTAGAATGACGTTACAGAGCAGACGATAAATACTGGTGGCACTTGTTTGATTATAGACGCAAAAAGAAAACAAAGAATATCAAACCACATTATGTAGGAAATTATCAATAACATACAGGGATTAAACTAGGCCCAACTAAAACAGTAAGCACGGTATTAGCGTAAAAAAACAACCACACCTCCATCCTCTTAGGTGTCATTCATTTATGAGGCCCACAAAAAGTTGGATTTCCACTGGCGTCCATTTAAAGTACGTCATCCCTGGCCTGTAAACCCGATATTAACGTTCACTAAAAGTAAAGGCCTATAAATGTTTTTAAAAGTTTAAATCTTACAGTATTCACACCAGATGCATGTCATTTATGTGTCAGAATTCGACCGCGGTTTTTGTTTTTAACTCTAAAATCAACCCAATTTATCGTGATAAGCAAACGCTGTCCGGGCTGGTATTTATACTAAAGTGTGTGCTCGAGTTTGATATTTTGATCAAAAATTGAAATAAACTTGTCATTCAGATATTAAAACATTGGCTTTCATAGTAAAAAAAAAACAACAAAAAACCCAAAGATTTCAGTTTAAAGGGAAATTTACTATGATTGAAAAAGAAAATTTGGGGGCCCCTAAAAATCGGGGGCCCCTGGCTGCAGCTCCCTCAGCACCCCCCTTAATCCGCCACTGGGTGGTGTTGTGGTGGTGTTGTGGTAGTTGCATAACTTTAGAGTAATTTAATAGTGTGCCGTTTAATGACTACGAGACGATCACGTGTTGGTGTCACGTGGTATTTACATTTCATTAGACCAATGATACGTAATAGAAGAAAGGTCACCACACAAAAGTCACCACACAAAGGTCACCACACAAAAGTCACCAGACAAAAGGTCACCTCTATCGAGACCTCCCTGCCCTCATTGGCCAGGTCCACCTTGTTGCCACACAGCATGATAATCGTGCCAGGAGGGGCTTGGGTCTTCAGCTCTTGGATCCAGTCATGTGCCCGCTGGAAACTTGACTGAAACAGTCACATAAGTCAGCTCATTTACCACAGTCACATCAGTCAGGTCATTTACCACAGTCACATAAGTAGGTCATTGTACCAGTCACATAAGTCAGGTCATTGTATCGGTCACATCAGTCAGGTCATTGTACCAAAGTCACATCAGTCAGGTCATTGTAAGTAAAGTTCCCTTTCAAACCTGACGGTCTATGGGGCAAGTGAAGTAGAATTCAGTTGTTTCTATGACATCGGCATATGAAGAGATAGTGTGGTCAGCACTATGCCCAGCCGCCTTTACCTTTACTAACAGGAGTTAGGTACCCATTAGAGTTGGGTGGACTCAGGGACGGTCTACTGACTTGAACCCGGATTCGAACTCGAGACTAACGGGTTAGCAGTCCAGCTCTCTACCGCTAGACCACTCCGTCCCACAGTCAGGTCATTGTACCAGTCACATAAGTCAGGTCGTTGTATCAGTCACATCAGTCAGGTCATTCTACAAGTCACACCAGTTAGGTCTTTCTACAAGTCACATCAGTTAGGTCATTGTATCAGTTACATCATTCAGGTAATTGTACCACAGTCACATCGGCCAGGTCATTGTACCAGTCACATAAGTCAGGTCATTGTTCAAGTCACATTAGTTAAGTCATTGTACCAGTCATATCGGTCAGGTCATCGAACCACAGTCATATCAGTTAGGCCATCTACCCACCTTACTACAGATGTCGTAGACCACGATGGCTCCCTGAGCCGTCCTGTAGTACATTGGAGCCAGCGATGCGAACCTCTCCTGGCCCGCTGTGTCCCACAGATCGAGCTTCACCGTCCTCTCCCCCACCCTCATAGTCTGGGTCAGGTAGGCCGCTGGGGAATGTTCGAGAATGTCATTATACTTTGGTGTGTGTTGGAAACTTTTGGACTGGGTTAGGTAGGCCGCTGGGGAATGTTCGAGAATGTCATTATACTTTGGTGTGTGTTGGAAACTTTTGGACTGGGTTAGGTAGGCCGCTGGGGAATGTTCGAGAATGTCATTATACTTTGATGTGTGTTGGAAACTTTTGGACTGGGTTAGGTAGGCCGCTGGGGAATGTTCGAGAATGTCATTATACTTTGGTGTGTAGGGGAAACTTTTGGACTGGGTTAGGTAGGCCGCTGGGGAGGGTTCGATATACTTTGATGTGTGTTTGAAATTTTTTATTGAAGTAAAACAATCATGTAATAATGAAATGAATGGTTGCACATTCCGTGCATTACACACTGTGTAAAGTATTCAAAGAATGCGAGTCAAAAACAACTAGGCCAACAACACACCCGACCAAACAGTTATCTGTTAGATGTGTTCATGGTATCAAACAACGCAGCAACAACACTGATATGCTATAAATAACTCCGTGTGTTCAACAGATCAAGTTTATAAAAACATGTATACATGTTGGCTTATTGGGAGAGGTTTGGTTCACACGACCCAGGGCAACGGGCATTCAGACACGGTCTATAAACATTAGATTGGTCAGACACGGTCTATAAACATTAGATTGGTCAGACACGGTCTATAAACATAAGATTGGTCAGACACGGTCTATAAACATTAGATTGGTCAGACACGGTCTATAAACATTAGATTGGTCAGACACGGTCTATAAACATTAGATTGGTCAGACACGGTCTATAAACATTAGATTGGTCAGACACGGTCTATAAACATTAGATTGGTCAGACACGGTCTATAAACATTAGATTGGTCAGACACGGTCTATAAACATTAGATTGGTCAGACACGGTCTATAAACATTAGATTGGTCAGACACCGTCTATAAACATTAGATTGGTCAGACACGGTCTATAAACATTAGATTGGTCAGACACGGTCTATAAACATTAGATTAGTCAGACACGGTCTATAAAAATTAGATTGGTCAGACACCGTCTATAAACACTAGATTGGTCAGACACGGTCTATAAACATTAGATTGGTCAGACACGGTCTATAAACATTAGATTGGTCAGACACGGTCTATAAACATTAGATTGGTCAGACAGACACGGTCTATAAACATTAGATTAGTCAGACACGGTCTATAAACATTAGAATGGTCAGACACGTCTATAAACATTAGATTGGTCAGTTACGGTCTATAAACTTTAGATTGGTCAGACACGGTCTATAAACTTTAGATTGGTCAGACACGGTCTATAAACATTAGAATGGTCAGACACGTCTATAAACATTAGATTGGTCAGACACGGTCTATAAACATTAGATTGGTCATAACCTCCTCTACTGGTGTTTATAGATTTATGTTTTGTTTTCTCGCATATTCGAATAATGCATTGTTGTCTCTAAATTGTCTCTATTTCACACTGTTTATATGTTGTGATAAAATGTGTTTTTTTGTGTGCCATTTTATGTGTTTAGGTCTTCATGTGTTTAAGTTATATTTCAATTGTTTATGTGTTCATGTGTTCATGTGTTTAACTCCTATGTTGTGTTCATGTGTTTACCTCCTAGGGTGGGGGTGTTTTATTCATGTGTTTACCTCCTATGGTGTGTTAATGTGTTTACCTCCTATGGTGGGGGCGTTGTGTTCATGGAACTCGTCCCTGAGAAATCTGAGTGAGATGCTGGACTTGCCGACCCCCTGGTCGCCTAGCAACACGACGCGGTAGGAGGACCTGGTGATGGGGGCAATGCTGGCTGGTGACGTCATGACTGCAGGGAAAATAAACCGGAAATCATAATACAAGTGTACAACAGAATGTACAGCCATATAATATAAGAGTACAGCATAAAATACAATCAGCTGTGTACATTCTTACAACTAGAATAAATAGTACCTAACACTACCTGGACAAATCTTACAACATGTTTGTTACAATTAACATTGTACAATTGTATTTCAGAATCTTACAGAAGACACCATTTTTTGAGACAGGTAATAAAAGACAGCTTTCAAACAATTTAACAGTTGTAGTGAGCAACTGCTAATGATTTCACTAGCTCAGTCTGTGTTTACACAATTAAACAAAACAGTTTTCTTTAAATTCAGTCATTCATATTAACACACACACACACACACAAACACATACACACACACATAGTCACTGTGATCAATATAGTTTATCACACTCGAGAAAGGTCAGCAAACGGCCATGAACCCATGACCTTATGACACTGACCAGCCAATCAACAGACACAACTCGGCATAAAATCAAACACAAATTCTTACTTATGAGATGTAGATTCGAAAGTTCAGTCCTTATTTAATCCTTAATTTCAGCAATATAATCCTTAGCTAGAATTACGGATCATTGTTTAAGATGTGTTGTGTTTTTAGATTCCATTTTGGTTATCAAATAAATAAACACAATTACAACAAAATGGTACGGCTATTGGTTGATTAACAGACAGGATAACAAACCACCATCACAACAAATTGGAACGAATATAACCCAACAAACAGGATGAGAAACCACGACACCCCAACAACCAACAGTGTCTGATAGCCGTACGATATCTCCGTGTTGTGAGACCAAGGTTTGAGATTAGAGGCTAGACCGTGTGGATGGATGTGACCCACCCCAACACACGTGCTGATGTGACGTGTTGATAGCATTTACATTATGTTGCTGTCTGGGTACTACACACAACACTTACACACAACACAGAACATTGACCTACAACACACATTATCACACAACGACAACACAGACCACTGATTTATTCCAGAAAATAAAAGTCCCCTTAATAACTCCCATGGGACGGAGTGGCCTACCGGTAGAGAGCTGGACTGCTAACACGTAAGTCTCGAGTTCGAATCCGGGTTCAAGTCACCCAACTCTGATGGGTACATAGCTCAAGTTAGGGAAAGTAAAGGCGGCTGGACATAGTGCTGACCACACTATCTCTGCTGAGGTCACAGAAATAAGTGAACTCTACTTCAGTTGCCCCATAGACCATCAGGTTTGAAAAGGGAACTTTAATGACCCCATGCTTGTCTATGTTTATCACAGAATCCTTCAGCACACGAGAAAGATCTCCTCGATGGTTGGCTCCAGTCCAGTCAGATGATCAGATGAAAACGTATGCACCTCTAGACGGTACCCATATAGAAGCATATAGTTTGATTTCTCTCAATTTGCGAGCCCCACTTTCTCCCCCTCCCCCAGCTTATTGTGCGAGATTTTACAGGTGGAACATGTAACATTTGATACATGGTCAACATTTGACACTGGTCAAACTGTCCTATCAAACGGGTCTATCATGCGACAGTTGTACCAGGTACAGAAGTCTGATCACATATTATCGTTGATTACCTGTAATAGAACCACAGTTCAATGGATCTGTTCAGATCAATCAATCGTTCATTCAGTTGGTGTTCAATGCCGCAGCAACTGTCTAGCGATATCACGTCAATTGTCATCATTCTGGTATAGTAACAGGCTTTTAGAGCGAAGTGCTTTTAGCCTATTAAGTCACATCACATAGAACATCACATAGAACCGTGCTCTTGTTACAATGTGTTGGGGAGACAACCTGACACATATGTTCATACAGATTTCTATACAAAAGTTATGGCGCTTGATATCAAAACAAAAGATCTGGTGTGCTTGATGCCATGAAATGTAAATGGAGACGTCAAATCAAATATACAACACCAGCTGCTTTAACTGGTATGTTAGATTCGTCTACGTCATTTAGTTTTTTACACACATTAATTAACCTATTATTTTAATTAAATTAAAACAAGGCTCAACTAACTTCGTGTGAGATATAAAAAACGACAATGGTAAGACACTAATTAAATCAAATTATTGATTGGACTCGTGATTAGATCGATAAAAAATATTGATTTTCTGTTTTACGATTGTGGTGTGTTTGATTAATTGTATAGTTGGTGGCTGTTGTTTATGTGGTGGTTGTTGTTTGGTGTGTTCTGTGGTGTGATGGTGTATCTTTGTGTGGTCAATGATGCATAGAATGACTTGCCGAATATTTGTAGCACATGACATGACCTAAGCCCTGTTTTACTTCAACATTACCACCACAAAAAGATGTGAATTCATGAACTATAAAGTGATGACTCGTAGAGTTGTGATGCACAAAATCATGAAGTATAAGGTTATAAAGCATTAAGTCATTAAGTATAAAGTTATAAAGCATTAAGTCATGAAGTATAAAGTTATGAAGTTTGAAGTCATGAAGTATAAAGTCATGAAGCGTAAAGTCATGAAGCGTAAAGTCATGAAGCGTCAAGTCATGAAGTATAAAGTCATAAATTATAAAGTCATGAAGCGTAAAGTCATGAAGCGTAAAGTCATGAAGTATAAAGTCATGAAGTATAAAGTCATGAAGCATGAAGTCATGAAGCATAAAGTTATGAAGCATGAAGTCATGAAGTATAAAGTCATGATGTATAAAGTCATGAAGTGTAAAGTCATATCTGTCACGGAACAAGAAGTCAGGACCTCATGGAGCGTGACCACACATTGACTGACAAGATCTGGCACAATCAATCGATTTCTGATTGATCTGTGAGATCAATAAATATCAGTAACGAACCCCTGCCAGTAAATTCCTCCCCCCCCCTCCCCACCCCTGGGTTACAGACTGGCTTGTGTTTTACCCAGATGGCAGCACACGCTGCTGTCTGTTGAATTGTTTTTACAGTTCCAATTTTCTGCTGTCAGTTTTAGATATCTACTGGCTTGTAGACCGTAGCTAGACTTGAGAACTTTAACCAGTTGTTTCGGGATATAAAACTGTCACGTGATCTCACAGTTGTGAACAATAACAACAATAACTGTATGGAAAATGACGTCACTCACAGACTGAGTTATGACGTCACACATTAGACACAAGGGGAACAAGGGAAGGTAACCAATGTCTAAATGTTGTCTCTAGTGTATATTAGTTCCTTGTGATGTTTCTATGTTTGTATGTGCTGTTTGCATGTGTTGTTTGTATGTGCTGTTTGTATGTGCTGTTTGTATGTGCTGTTTGTATGTGCTGTGTCAATGTGATATTTCAAATGTCGTCACTTTCTCCACAGACTGGCACAGATTCTGACGTCAAGGTCTGACACACAACGTCACACAGCAGGAAGTGATGACGTCATCAGCACCACGCCATACCGCCTGCCACGTATTGCGTCATCGACAGAGAAGATCAAAAGGCCAGAGTCACGTGACTTGTCTTTGGAGAAAATGTTTGGTCGCCATGGTTACGAGTATATCATCAGGTAAAATGTCAAATTTGATAGCCGGTTTGATCAATATATTGGCTAAACTTCCCCTTTAAGTTTGTTGTGATACCCATCCCAAACAAAAACTATCAGCGACAACTGAAAAAACACCAAACCCAATGTGTTCAACTCTCTGGACGAGCTAAAAACTGCCTCAACCTCTGGCAGATAATGTCAACAATGAAAATGGTCAGCAATGCTGGGATTTGATCAACGTGTTAAAACGGTAATCACGTGACCCAACATGTCGGGGTGTGTTGCCCCTCAGATGGTTGAATGATGGTATGTTGGTGTTGGTGAACTTTAAACCGTTTGTTTATATTGTACCAGGTTACCTGACCTGACCCCCCTACAGCCGGGAGAGTTCATCTCACCCCAACGTCTGCTGTCCCAGAGATCCCGGCAACTTCCGGTCCCCACAGGGTTCAACAACGTCACAGCATCCTGTAGAAACACGCCATCTTTGTATGGGGAGGACGACGGGGACGATGAAACATTCGATGATATTTTACAGAGGTTGTTACATCTTACATCTAACGTTATCTTTGTAAGGCGCTTTGGTGGAGGTTTATGTAAAGAAAAGTAATATGATAGATTGCCTTCCATTTTGTTCGAAGGGAACTTATAAGGTACAGCAAGTGTAGCTCATTAAAAACGCCAATACCTATTTTAAAAAATACTGAAGTCGGTAAAATAAATTATGTATTCTCCTAAGAAGAGTTATAATTTTACCAATACATTGTAGTGAACTCGACTATATAAATGACGCGATCTAAATCTATAAGGTTTTATGAATTTTAAAATTACCACACATTTGAAGGTGAACAATTAATGCCATCATGTTATTTCCGTTTTCTCTAGAGATCATGTGACGTCTGACACTAGAACTACGTCACCAGCAGTATCGATACAAAGCATTCACTGGGCGCTGGGACAACAGAGGAATGGCATATTCGATACCACGGTCAGATTCAACAAAGTTTAGGGTTAAGTGTATGTTAGTGTGTTATTTATTGAACACCGTTAAAAGATGACAAAATAAATGTTCAGCGGGTCTCAAAGTTTGCCGTGGCAGCTTCAGTCTTCACCTCACTGGCAGTTCTAGACAGACAAAAAAAATCAGGCGGGGATATTTTTGTTTATGTCTATTGAACCAAACATACGAGTAACAAAATGATTTACCGTAAACCTTTGCTTCTGTGTATTTCCACCAGGGCAGGAGCCATCTACAGGGACCGTTCTCCAGAAGTTTTACAGTAAGGTGTCGAGCACCTCCAACATGGATGAAGATGAAATGGGGAAGGTCAAGGACGTTTGTACACTGAATGTTTTGTAGGGGTCTAAGATATGATATGTACACCGTCAGGTTTTCTATGGGTCTAAGACACGATATGTACACCGTTATGTTTTGTATGGGCCTAAGACATGATATTTACAGCGTCATGTTTTGTGTGGGTCTAAGACATGATATTTACAGCGTCCGCTGGACTTTTTCTTGGCTTCATTATAACAGTTGTTATCTTCGGTTTGTGAGGACTGAAACAAATTTGTATCTGAAATTTAATTGTTTTCATTTGCATTGCCTTATCTTGGTATAACACAAAACTTATAATTTTAATATCAAAAATGAAATTATGTAATTAAATAGTAATTGTTCTGTTGAATGTATGTGGGAAGGGGTGGAGGAAGTCTTAACTGTTGAACGTGAAATATAAATTTTAAACAAAATGTTTAGTGGCTAAAAATGGGATTTTAAATTAAAATAACATGTAGAATACATGACATTAGCTATTTTAGGGTACTTACGGTTTCATGACGTTATAAAGCCAACTCAAATACATTATAATAATGATAATTTGTAATATTGGTTGTTGTATTATATAAAATATTGTTTGTTGTATGATATAAAATAATCAATTATTTGTTTTTCGTACAAACGATAAAATACTGTTACAAATAATCTTTGTTGCATTAAGTCGGCGTGGTCGAGTCGGTAAATAAAGTTCATGAGTACTAAAACGGAAATTCTCGAGTTCGAACCCTCGGGCAGATGAAGCTCGTTAGCTGGAGACAGCCACTCTTCTAGGAGAGACAAATCCAAAATCAAACAACTGCTGCCTTGTAGTTTGTTCTTGGTTGGACAAAGGCTATGAAAGCAAATCCAAAAAGAAAAACAGGCTGAAATCGGAGTCAATGGCCTCAATGGTGTATATTCAATTGACAAGTACACTTCACTGTGTCGGAGGAGATTCCTTTCAACACTAAAATTAAGAACTGTAATATATTGAGAATTGTGAAGTCAAGGGAACTCACTCTTCTTGTATTAGTCTTATATTTATAATGTGGTTTTGAGTGATGTCCCTGGTTTTATGTATTGTTCCTTCCTGCTTCCGCCATGTTAGCTGATGGTGGCTGATTAAAGATCTATATACAAAAACCATGGTTTCTGTCGTCAGTGTTTCAATCTACCTCAATTGGCGACGAGGATAAATCATCCGCAGGAAAAGAGCACATGCTTACTTAAAAAGAAGCTTGCTAGAGCATATTGGCTAAGTATTTCTAGGATAATGGCGCTGTATGGCCAAAAAAAAGAATTTGACTCGAATGATGAAACCATTCATGATTATCTAGATAGGTTAAGCTTTTACCTTGAAGCTAACGACGTGACGATAGAAGCCAAAAAGAGAGCTGTTTTGTTAACAGTCATAGGGCCTCAACAATTTAGGCTATTAAAGGACTTATGCGCACCAGCTAGTCTAACTACCAAGAGCTTTAACGAGCTGAGCAAACTGCTAACAGACCACCATGCGCCCGCACCATTAAAAATCCTGTGTAGAGCCAGATTTGACGGTAGGACTCGTCAACCAAACTAATCAATATCAGAATATGTTGCTGCTTTACGTCATTTAAGTGAATTTTGTGAGTTCGGGGACACGCTGTCTGACAGGCTATGTGAAAAGTTTGTGACAGGTGTAAATAGCCCTGATGTTCAAAGAAAGTTGCTGCTCGAGTCAGATCTAACATTAGAAAAAGCAATACAACTTGCAACTTCATTCCAGCAGTCATCCGATGCGGCGAGATCGCTGACACCCTCAGGGATCCAAGCAGTAGACAGCAGGTTAGTCAACAAACACCAACCCCATCAGAGCAGTTCAACTTATGCTAAACAACCTGCAAGTTCAAATCCTAGATCTAAATCTAGTAATAATTATCAAAAATGTTATCGATGCAACGGTCCCCATGCATCTCATCGATGCAAGTTCAAATCAGCAACTTGTTATAAGTGCAGTAAGCAAGGTCACATTGCCAAGGCCTGCTTTGCAAAGTCTTCGTCTGTTGCTAAATCTAGCCAGTCAAGACAGTACCGCAACCAAAGGCAGCACTATGTTAACTCTCACCAAGACTACCTAACCCAACCAATGAACCACTCTACCAGTGAAAATGCTCAAACTGATTTGCAGCCGGAGTTCAACCTGTTCTCTGTGAAATCAACAAGTCATGCTCCCATCAATGTACCAGTTTATATCAACAGTAAGAGCATCAGCTTCCAACTTGACACTGGAGCATCTCTAACAGTCATCACAAAGAAGGATTTTGACGCTGTTACAGGAGGATCAGTGCCTCTACAACCATGTGACATGTGCCTAACAACAAACACAGGTGACAATGTTCCAGTGATAGGAGAGTGTATGGTTCATGTAAGCTATAATAGTCAAAGTGTTAAACTTCCTCTTCTTGTGGTTGAAGGAAATGGACCACCATTACTAGGTAGGAACTGGTTAGTTGATCTTAAGTTAAACTGGGGGAATATATTTTCAGTGAACAAAGCAAGAGAATCTAGTTTTACTTCAATAGATAAAGTTATATCTGAAAATGAAGGTGTCTTTGGTAATTCAGGATTACTAAATGATAGGACAGTGAAGATAAGCATTAAAGACACAAATCCAAGATACTGCAAAGCTAGAGTTCCACCTTATGCAATGAGTGATAAAATTGAAAATGAGCTAAGTAGATTGGAATCTAATGGCATCATAAAGAAGGTAGACTATTCCGATTGGGCAACGCCCATTGTGCCAGTGTTAAAGAAGGATGGTTCAGTAAGAATTTGTGGAGACTATAAAGCTACACTGAATAAGCAAATAGAGCTAAATAAGTACCCTATTCCTAACATTGAGGAAATTTCTTTGAATTTGGCAGGAGGAGACAAATTCACTGAATTAGACTTTAGTCATGCTTACACTCAACTAGAACTGCATCCAGATTCAAAAGTCTATACGACAATAAACACACATAAAGGACTCTACCAATATGAAAGACTATGTTTTGGTATATCATCTAGCCCTGGAATTTTCCAAGCTGTCATGGACAGTATTTTTAAGGATATTCCAAATGTTTGTGTTTACTTTGACAATGTGTACATAACTGGTAAGAATGACACTGAACATCTTAAAACAATTGATAAAGTCTTGAAAATAGTTGGTGAAAAAGGTTTAAAGATAAACAAAGATAAATGTCAATTCATGCTGACAGATATTAGTTTTCTTGGTTATATTTTGAGCAAACATGGTCTCAGACCTCAACCTGAGAAAACAAAAGCCATTAAAGAAGCACCCAAACCTGAAAATACCCAACAGCTAAGAGCTTTTTTGGGCTTGATAAATTACTATGCGAAGTTCGGTTCCCAGAAAGAACCGCAACGGAAAAAAGCGCAACGGAAAAAAGCGCAAAACAAAAAGCGCAACGGAAAAAAGCGTACACGGAAAAAAGCGCAAAGAGAAAAAAGCGCACACAGAAAAAAGCGCAAAGAGAAAAAAGCGCACACAGAAAAAAGCGCAAAGAGAAAAAAGCGCACACAGAAAAAAACGCAAAGAGAAAAAAGCGCAAACGGAAAAAAGCGCAAAGAGAAAAAAGCGCACACGGAAAAAAGCGCAAAGAGAAAAAAGCGCACACAGAAAAAAGCGCAAAGAGAAAAAAGCGCAAACAGAAAAAAGCGCAAACAGAAAAAAGCGCAAACGGAAAAAAGCGCAAAGAGAAAAAAGCGCAAACGGAAAAAAGCGCAAAGAGAAAAATGCGCACACGGAAAAAAGCGCAAACGGAAAAAAGCGCAAACGGAAAAAAGCGCAAACGGAAAAAAGCGCACACAGAAAAAAGCGCAAACGGAAAAAAAGCGCAAACAGAAAAATTCGCAACCAGAAAAAACACAACAAAAAATGTGCAAAAGAGAAATTTAGCACAAAAACCATATGGACCAGATGACACATTTATACATGACTGTTAGGGCTGCTGTGAGAGTGTCGTGTTTGATCACGTGATCTACTACCATTTAAAGCGTACCACTACCATGTGCATTTCTATCACCATGATACAGGCGATAATCGCTTTACACAATGCCTATTATTTTCTTGGTCAATAATTATTCAACTACTATTCTCGTATAAATAAACATAAAACTATCGACATTACACGAAGTATCTTTCACATTTTCCCTAGTCCGAACTATATATATATATATATATATATATATATATATATATATATATATATATATATACAGTTTTGATGTATGTTTAAACAAGGATTTGTGTGAACGAATATTAGTGCGAAAGTTAATGACGCAATGAATAGTTACGCGGTTCGCGAGAATGAGATGTTTTAGTGTAGGTTCGTTGTTGTCGGGGAAAGAAGTTAAAAAGTATACTTGTTCTTGTTGTGTTAGAGTGATGTCGTAATGTAGTCCAGTCTTAGTATTGTTCGTTCAAGTCGTCCTTTGTAATGGAATAAATAGTCAAATTAATGTCATCCTGTCGAATCATTTGTATACCTTGATGTCGTCGTGCTTTGGAATGAACTACTGAATGGCTAGACAGAATATAATGGTAGTGTTGACCCTCTCATGTAGAGCCCTACATTACATAGTTAATCAGATTAACAACGAAGATGCCATTGGAGTAGATGTAAGTCAAAGCCTGATGTTATTATAAAACTTCATCTCTCTTTGTTTCTTTATAAAAAGGTTATGGAAGGTTTTTTAATGTATTTTACTGAAATGTTTACCGGACGAATGCAAAATGATATAAACAACCATAGCTCTTCTGTTATATAGGCTAAATGCAGTGTTTCTTCTAGACTTTCCACCCCCCCCCCCTCAAACTTTCGATTTGCACATCCCCCCCCCCTCAAACTTTCGATTTGCACCCCCCCCCTCACACTTTATATATATATATATATATATATATATATATATATATATATATATATATATATATACCGAGGGGTCTATGGGGGGGTTATGACCCCCCTAACCCCCCTTCCTATGCCACTGCAAATAAGTATTCGCATAGCTTCGAGTAGCG